AAACCACCAATCACTCGATAAGTTGGCTCTGGAAGAATGAAATTGAACTGGTTTTCTTTATTTTTAATCAAAATAATTTAAAAATTCACTAGTTTTCGTGGTCCGCTTGACCAGTTAATATAATTCAATTAATTAAGGTTTTTAGTTGAGATAAAAGGAGAGAAAATTCAAAAGCAGGGGTTAAGATGGGAAGTTAGTGTCCGAGTGGATCGAAGTCACGATAGCTCAGGTGGTAGAGCAGCGGCGTATCTAGCCGAACATCGTGGGTTCGAATCCTGCTCGTGACACTGACTTTTTTATCTGAACTAAAAACCTTAATTAATTGAAATAATTTAAAAAGATTAGTAACATTAATAATCATTTTTGTTTATGTTAGATCAAAAACAACCTATTTTACCTATGAAAATAGCGAAGGTCGTTCAAATAATGTCTCTTTTATCTTTTCTCGCTTTTGCAATCGTTCTGGAGAACAAATGAGCTCTTTTCAGAACCGGCATTACCTTCATGGACGTTACAGTTTTACTAATAAGTAAAACTATTCACGCGATATCTCAAATGTATGTCATTATATTCTGAAACCTGTGGTTAGAGTAAAAATCATTCCCAAATTAAAGGCTTTTCATGAACCTAAGTACTGTTCGCTCGATAACATATTCTCATTGTTTGTCTACAATTGTGCTCATGAAAATAATAACCGACGATTTTTAATTTTTTTTCTATATTGTATAATTTATTAATCTTAAACTCAAATTCTCCAAAGGAACTAAACGCCTCGCCTGTCACGGTTGGATACTGTGTTAAACACTTGACACCCCTCAAGAGGCTTGTCAAAAGCAGTCGACGATCGAGTTTCCGTTAAGTTTACTTTCTCGTTTAGCCGCATGTACTAAGTTCATTATTCAAAAGGCAAATTTTCTCATTTATCAACTTTTAATAAAATTCGCAAAATTTGGAAGAGTGCTGAAAACACAAGATTGATTATGTTCTTTGGAAACTTTCACAAAACCTGTGAACTGTAAAAATAGTTAATAAAGACAAGCAAAAAACACGTATTTTTAAAATTATCAGCATGAATGCATACACATATTGCGTTAACAATCATTGCTGAAGTTTACAACTTGACTGACTTAAACAGGTCTTAGATGACAAACATACAAGAGGGGCCGAGTGGTCCATTTGCCACGATAGCGGTTCTGGGTTCGAATCCCGGGACAGCTCATGGAATTTTAATTGGAAATAATCTATAAAAGGTATTGTAAATTCTGACCCTTCGTATGAATTAAAGCCCATATGTATGACAGGAATTACTTTTTTCCTTACTTTATCATGTTAAAATTATTATTTACTATGACAAGCTCATATGCTCTGTTAAACCAAGTAATGTATATGCAGAAGCTGTAAGACTAAAATTTATTCATTTCGTTCGATGAACCATTCACGTTAATGATATCATGATAAAGATTAAAAACGACCCTGGAAACAAATTCAACATAAACATTACATTTTTAAAAAGAGTCTTATTCAAGAATTACATGCATAGATTTTCGAGTTTAAAATGTAAAATATTATGGATACATATAACGTACGATGTATGATACGATACATAAGATAAAAGCAAGTTAAGTGAAGTTACTCTTCGTATTTCTTCAACTTTTTCCAATGCCGAAATCACAGGATGTGAAAGAACTTATCGCAGCTTTGTTTTTTCGGTCGAGAAAATCGGGGATTTTTGTTTTTAAAACTTAATAAACTCTGAGGACCTGTTGAGTGTAAAGAATGGGTCTGAAAGCTCGAAGTTCAAAACAGTGTCGAAGTTCCGGGAGTTCCGGGAAAATTCAATGAGTTTTTTCCCAAACTGATTCTTTACTTAGGGCTGATTGGATTTTTACCTCCAACTTTCCTTAACGTGTTTAAACTCAAATCAAAACTAATACTTTGAACACATTAATTGTTATTAAGGAATTGTCAAAATATCTTCAGCAAGTACCATGCATTATATCAAGTCAGTTATTCTTTGTTAATGAAAACATAAAAAAACAATACAACATTTGTTAATGATTTCTTATTGACTTTTCTTTTGCTGTGTCGTTTTTCTATCAATGGACAATGATGTTGGTTTATCATTGAAGTCCTCCAGTGCTTTTTTTATTGTACTTACTTAGTCCCATTCTTCTTGATGTTCTTTCTTCACACAATTATGGCGTTTTCTCCCTTAATGAACTTACCTACTGAACCTCCTTACCCACCCATCCAAACACCCAGATCTTCTCTGTTTTTTCAGACACATCAAGGATTCCCCATTACCAGATCCCAAGCTTATCTTATCTCTGACAACAGTGGTGTTCTCCTTTGTGTTCTGTTATATATAAAGAAACTACTAAATTGAAATATATCGTGTCTTGGCAAAAGGCCCTTGGAACCGAGAAAATATTTTAAGTAATTTCATCTCTTGTTTGAATGTGGTTTTCTGAGTTTCTTTGCATGTATATCATAGTAGAAATAAAATGTGGTAGGGTAAAATTTTATTTTTTGTTTATTATAAAAATTCATACTTAAAAGGCTTTAAGAGTTGGATAAATCAAATCCTAGACCCAGTTCTAGTAAGGTTAACCAACAGGATTCGCACGTGTAAAATTTTATTTGCCCCGATGTCCAGTGAACTTTAAAAAAATGCATGTGAAATTTATTACACCTGGTTTTATCCATAATCAGGTTTGTAAGCGAAGTTTTGTCTTTATGTAATTATAAGTAAGAAAAGTAAGAATGAAATCATCAAAAATTTCTCAGACGTTTTATTTTATATTTTCAATTGTAATTTATATCAATATATTATTATAATTCTAAGATATTCCATAGCGTGTCGTTTAGGAAGTTCTAAACCGTTTAAAGTTGTTTATACATTAGTTAAGTGACTTACTTTGCTACTTTGTTATGTATTGTGTTTACTACATACGAAATTATTCTCCCACAGATTGAATCTTTTCTTGTTGCAAAGTAAGTTCAACCTTTTTTCTTTTCGTAACAAGGAACAAAGCTGACTTTTTCGGCAGCCAAAACACCCTGAATACAAATTTTTGGGAAAATCAGGAAAGATTTTTTCCCTCTTTTTTTCAGTTTTTTTTTTTTTTTTTCAAAAACTCGATTGTGATAGCTTTTAAGCGACTCTACCGATCTTTATGAAACATTATAGTTGTTTAGAATACAATAAAATTCACTTAATGGCGTAAACCTAGTCTCCGCAAATCAATTTAACCAGAGTTATAAAATAAAAAGTTTTGAGTAGTTTTTGTTGATTTCAACTTTTTTTTCTCGCTTATAATAATATAAATATCAAAGTCTGTTGTTAAAACAGAAAAATGCAGCTTACAAAGGTTGTAATGCCGTTGGTATTGATAAAATCCAGTGGAGTTACGAATTTTTAGGTGGAACACCGAACATCTTAGAAATAAAATGTGGTAGGGTAAAACTGGTTATTTTTTGTTTATTATAAAAATTCATATTTAAGAGGCTTTAAGAGTTGGGTAAAACAAATCCTAGTCCCAGTTTACGTGAAGACTCTTTTCATTTTTGTAACTTTTCGTATAACTAATCTCGTTTAATAAGATCCTGCGTCTTATTGACTTATCCAGGATAAATCAAAAATCGGCTGATAAGTAAAATTACCTTGAAATACATGCACAACAAAAACAGAAAATCATATTTTTAAAGAATTATATTAATTATTGAAAATAATTTGTTGAAGTCGTGAAGAGTGCTCAAGAATGAGGTGGTTTAGAAAAACACTTTTTATTTTTTTCCGACGTTTCAACCGACCTTTATTCGGGTCATCGTCAGGGCATAAAGTGTGGAGCTATTCTTATGGTGTCATATTGGTTTTGTGTGAAAGTGTTGTGAAAATTAGGTTATTGAACATTTATTTAGAAATCGTGAGATGCGGTTTGGTGAGATGTAGGTTTCAGAAAAACATTTTCTTTATCGTGCCAACGTTTCGATCTTTATTGAGATCATCTTCAGGGCCTTGTGTTGTCTGCATTTCAGCAAAAAAGTTCTCTGATTGATGGCCGAAGCGAGTTTCTTCTCATTGTTGGCGATGCCCTTCAGTATACTTTTAGCTTCGTGTCTATATGTAGTTGCAATTTGTTCATAGAATCCAATGTTCTTCGAACGCAGACAACACAAGGCCCTGAAGATGATCTCAATAAAGATTGAAACGTTGGCACGATAAAGAAAATGTTTTTCTGAAACCTACAACACACCAGACCGCATCTCACGATTTCTAAATACATATCTATTAACGGTCACTAATCACCACACATTATTGAAAATATTCGTTGACGACTTTAACTATTTCTCTATTTTTCCATATTATCGTTATTTTATTAACAACTCGTAATCAAGAGCAATCCAAAAGTTCCAAATTTCTCTGCTCTAAATTTAAAAATGACTAAATCACTAGCACTCTCAACACGACACACAATCGTGACACATCTACACAGAAAACACACACGTTGAGCCCTGAAAATGATCTAAATAAAGACCGAAACGTTGGCACGATAAAAACAAATGTTTTTCTAAACCTACATCACACAAAACCTCATCTCACGATCTCGAAATAATCAAAAATGATAAAGTTGACTGATAAGTTGGTGTTTAAAATAAAATGGTTTTACAAACTTAAACCTTTTCCCAGTTGATTTTCGGATAAAATAAGGTTATTTGTTAGGTAGGTTTTTATTTTTAACTTTTAAAACTAGCAACATTTACTGTATACCTGAATCCAAGTTGAAATAATCTAGTTATTAACACAACAGACTTCAGATGTTCATTATTGATCAACTGAACCAGATATATTAACATTAGGGGTAAAACAAGAATGAAATCACTCACTTCTAAAAAAATCAAAAAGCTAGTATTAAATTGCCTGAGCCTTTTTTCTCACAAAACAACGTTAATGAAATTGAGATAACGTCAGATTACGGATTCATTTCAATCGTGCGCAGTTATAGAAGATAAGGCTCATTGGAGGGATGACGTTGGACGAGAAAGTCTCTCGAAATGGGCCAAATGCGGGATGAAAGCGTCGAGCAGGAAATGCTCGGAGGAGGCCGAAAGGATGAAGAAGACGAAGATATCGGCTACCGGTCCAGGCCTAGGAGAGCGAATGGTTTCACAGAATTTTGGAACAAGCTGGACAGCTGGGGCTCTAGAAGGAACAGGTACAACAAGAGAAAGAGCGCACCTCCGACACGAAGACGAACTCCGTCCGGTTTATTGCAAACACGTAGTAAGTACAATTGTATTTCAAACCAACAAATATAAACCATCTCTTTTCAATATGCGTCTTTGTACCAGTTAATTTTTTTTAAATTGATAATTTTATCTCCTAAGGGGAAGACAGTTTAAAGAAATTAAACTGTATAAATCTGCTTGAAACAATAAGTTGACAAAGTTGTTCAAGACCAAGAAAACTTCCAGAAACTAAAAGATGAATCAGCAAAATGCTACGCTACTACACTGCACTACTCATCGATCAAAGTTTGTCTCGTTTGAACAGCCAAAAATTTTATTAAAAAATCTTTACTTTAAAATTTTACTTACTTTAATTATTAAAATGTGTGAGCTCCCTTGTTAGGAAATTGTGTGGCAGGCAATAACCAGAGACACACATGGCACCATTTACACCATTTACCAGTAACTACATTCTACTACAACCCTTAGACGACTGATAACCTTGAATCGGCAATATCAACCAGGGTGTTCATCACACAAGAGAGATTTTAATCAATTGACTAGAACACGACTAACAGCTAAACGAATACTGTAACGATCAATACTCCAGATACCTCAGACACTGGCCACCAACTCACTATGACAGTGGCGACACGTATTCCCAAGTATAAGAACACGGCCCTCTTATACGAACTGACGGCAAAATATCACAGCTATACGCCACACATCGCGACATATACACACAACACACTGACATACTGGAACTTCTCGGTTGTGTCATAACACCAAAACCTTTACGCCTATTGAAGTATAAAAGGTTATCCTCAACCTTCCTAGAAACAACTGCTATGCAGTCCGTGTGACTTAATCACGTTTTATACCTGATAACCTCCAAAATTTCACTTCAGCTTTTTCGCAAGGCGATACTAATTGGACCTATGGGAATTCTCGTCCATTCTCATGATCCTCAAGCCTACCAAACTAACTATATTTGCTCGTACCGCCCTATAAATCTCCTATCTACCCTCGGCAAAGTACTTGAGAAGCTACTTACATCCGTGCAAGAAATCATATCCACAACCAACACTGTAGCCACAGATTTGGCCTGGTAATTATCACCCCACAATCAACCAAACTAGTAGAACACACTCTCAACATAAAATCTCATCCAATCTGTTCGTTTCTTCAATGTTACCTACCAAACCTCAGTCTCCCCGATCCATTCCATCTTCTCAGGTGTTTCCCAAGGGAGCCTAGGTTACTTTTTAACATATACACCAATACATTCACCCATAGAGGCTTCAGACCCACGATACAGCATTCTTCTCTGCAAACCAAATCCTATCCTAGAAGTTCGATCTCTCCGAGACCGCTTCCTACCTTACAACCATGATTCTGTAAGTCACACACTCACAAGCGAAATGTTCCTTCCCGAATGACTCAAATTCCACTTCCTGCGGGAAATCGGTTCAAACACTCGGGTCTGAACACAGACAAAATTGATTTTGGTTGACTTGAAATCCTCGACTTAAAATAGCATAATTGAATTATAGGTACGAGACAACAAAAAATACCTTACCAGATTTCTTCTAACTCCTATAAGAAATTTAACTATGGACTGTATAGCACGGCTAATACCTTCAGTCGAAAATTGTCCGAAGGATTCAGCCATGCTCTTTTCTTTGTTAGTAAGCGTACGAGACTGAATACGTCAACTTCCAGCCAAATTATCTCTTCATTCCAATTCTCTCATCCGTAATCTATACACTCTTACCCTACCAACCAATCTCCTTAGAAAGTTGGAGGCTAGTTACCAACTGCGGACTTGAAGTCATCTATCGGATTCATTACAGTCGAAAAGGCTGCCTAATGTCATCAATGGATGGCTTCCATCCACGCTTAACCTATCTCCTTATTACAGAAATGATGCAGTTGTAGATTACCTAATAATAAACAAATGTAAAAATAAAAAATACTGTGGGATAAAACGTAAGTTATAATTATTACAACAGAAAAAAGAAAACGTTTATTTAAAATATAAAAATAGTTACGTCATCTATCTTGTTTGATAATTTTCATGATGCGATAGTTAATGTATGTCCTCATTAAGTACTTCATACCATGATTTTTTAAAGTAAAATTTGAACAAGATAACAGCACGTATTTTGTGATATTTTATTTATATTTGTTTTTCAGTCAAACTAAAATTAAACATTGCCTAAAGAGCACAAAAAACAGTCAAGTGATATGCAATCATACTCATGACGCATACGTCATTCACAAAAATCAGATCATCTATTTTTATACTCTCGTATTTTGTCTTTTTGTGGGATCATCAAACATCAATCAAACTTAGTATTGTTTAATAAAACACACGATTGTTTAATATAGCAACGATTTATATTGGAATTTTGATGTAATTTATTTTTTTATTTTTGAGCCTATAAATTGTTATAATGCTGTTGTCATGTCTGATGATATTCCATGCCTAAAAGCCCAAAATACCGAACTTTTTGTAGTATTACATATTTTAAAAAATCGTATCCCAGGAAATTCTTGGTCGATTTCGATGATTTTTTTTAAATGTACTTTTAAGATGTAATAGATTAGATGGTCTTTTATTTTTAAGTTGTATTAATTAGTTGGTTAACCCAGTACGTGAAAGTAATTGAAGACTTTCTTTGAGATCTTGTTTGTCACATTAGCCAAAAAACTTATTAAAGAAACTTATGGGAATATACTTACCCGGTTCATCTCTTTGCAACTTTTGCCTGTTCCAAACCGACGTTTTATTGGCTAGAAGTATGTTTTACTACAATACCATTCTTACGCCGCGTGTGCTTAAAAAAATCAAGTTTCCCTTCTACCTGTTTATTTGCCCAGTTGATTCCGTTTTAAAAAAAGACTCATTGTTGATCTTTTGCTTATCTCGAAGGTGAGCCGATCCCAGGTGTAAAAGTAGCATCGTCAGTTTTTTTTCGATATTTTGGTCGGCTTATCACCCTCGAAGATAATCCAAAATTTATATTGTAAAATAGGGATATTTTATCAAGGTTTATTTTTGGTAGTCAAAGTTTCTCATTTTTGTATTCTAAACCAAAAATTTATTTTCTTTGCAAGTACAATTTAGCCATTTGTTATAGTTGAAAGTAGGTCAAAAATATTGTTATCGTTCCTTTCGTGTTATTTTTGAATTAAATTGTACAATGTTGCAAAAACATGCTAGAAAATTGAAGACAAAACATCAAGACTGTAGCGCAAAATTTATATATTGCAGAATAACTGGAAATTTCATTAAAGAAGCCTGGATTGAATGAAATTTAAAATTTGAAGCACATCGTAACGGAATGTTTATAATTTGATATGGAGGTGTTTTCAGGTGTGCAATCTTGGTGAAATCTTGCCTGAACCATAGTGAAAATTGTACCAAAAAAGCAAAATCACAAAATTAATTTACTTATTTTACAAGAACCGGCAATTTTAAGGATAAAAGCTAAATCTAATCGATAATTCGTGGATCATCTTATTTCCTTGAAACTTTTCCGGCTAGTTGAAAATTGTCCAAAAATTTGTAAAATTGATAAATGTAACCTGATAATGACCGCAGTGAACGGTTCCCGTTCTACCACAAAAAAGGGTTTTTCTTTCGAGTTTGAAAACTTAATTAATCAGTGACTAGTGAACTCGGTTCAAGCATCTTTTAGAAAATCAGCATTTAGAACATCTCATAATCTAAAATCCTTTTGAAGCTTTGGAATTTCTCTTTTTTTCTTCAAATCTGTTTAAATCCAGATAAACGGAAATAATAACTAATTTTGATAATTAGCATAAATAATTTGTGCAATCTACTGGCTGAAATTAAATTATTTAAATATAATAGTTTCCCTCCAACAACAACAATAATTATTATTATTTCATTTTTTATAGTTGGTGGATTTTTATTAAACTTGAAATGTCTGTTTATAGCTTTTATTTTAGTTACTGTAACAAATATTGTATACAGAATTGAAAAAACATTTCAGAAAATTATCCCTTGGTTTTCATTAATAAATCAATAAAATTAAATATGTTTATTGAAAAACACTTATTCTCTTTGCAACGTTTACGTGCTGTAAAAGGTCATTTTAATTGTCAGAAGTGTGTTTTTACTACAGAGGATTTTACACAGCGCTTTTCATTCTTCCTGTTTATTTGCCCAGTTTATTCAGTTAAAAAAAAGACTTTGTTGATCTTTCACTTATCTCGGAGATAAGCCGATCCCAGGTGCAAAATTATTATTTCCCTTGAGTAAAATGATAAATTATATGTCAAGTCGCATCGAGTTTAATCATCAGATTTGTTAATTATTAATCATCATATCCGGGCTCTCTATGCTCTTATTTTTTTTTTTTTTTTTTTTTTTTTTTGTTCCATAGCATCTTACTTGATATTGCCGGTTTTTAATAAGCAGATATCCGTTTATATTTTCTGCACAACAAGAGCGTAATAAATTCAGTATGATATTGTAATTTTAAGGGCAAGACAAAAAAAAATTAAAGTAGGACTTGATACATAAGACTAGAAAATTAACTTTTTTTCTTGTCTTTGTTATTTATTGTAGGGGTTTTATTTATTTCAGAGTTTCCCAGCGTGTAGTTTTCGGGTATTTGCGAGACAAATCCACTGTGTCTTCTCCATTTTTTCCTTTTATTGACTCCAAAATTTATACAGCCATCATTTTTACATCTTATTATTATTATAATCAGCCGGAGAAATATTAGCGGCGTGGGGAGTAGAGCTGAACCGGGTGGAAACAGAAAAGCTTCCCAAAACGTCCCCCTGGTTACTCCCCTCCTTCATCGTACGGTGGGATATGGCCAAATTAAAGAAAAACGAGACACCCGAGTATATATATAAAGCAATGTTTGAAGCCCTAAAAGATGAATATAGACATGCGACATCCGTCTTTACAGACGAGTCCAAAACGGCAGAGGGCGTGGGGTGTGCCGTGTACACGGAGGGAGAATTTAAACAATTATCGCTCCCTCCTGCCGCAAGTGTGTACACGGCGGAACT